TATACTATGTAATCCAGTAGAATAAATTTGTCAAATGTACATTTATCATAACTAAATAATTGACAACATAATTCATGATAACATTGTTCAAATAATTAAATAAATCAAATACATATTGAAAAATAACGTGTCAAATGTATATTCATAATAACTAAATAAGTGACAAAATAACTACTCATAATATTGTTCAAATAGCTCAAATGACTAATAAATTAAATACTATTGAAAAACGAGAAGTACTATATTATTGAAATAATTAAATTTATATCGAAAAATGAAAAAATAAGGTATGATTGAAATTATTAAATTATAATAAAGATAGAATCGTTCAAAAAATAATTCACCACATACCGTATCTACAGCATACCGCATATGCCACTCACCGTATATGCAACTAATATACCGGATATGCAACATATCGTATATGCTACTTACTGGATATGTAGCTAATATACCGAATATACAACTAATATGCTGTATATGCAACGTACCAGACATGCAGCTAACATGCTGTATATGCAAGTAACATATCAGATATGCAAATAACATAAAACATACCGTATATGCAACAACATACCGGATAACCTACCAGATAAAATTGGAGGACTGGATGAATAAAAATTGAAAAAATGAACAGTAAAATATCATTGGTTACTATTGCATCTATAGTAACTTAAAAGTATCTTTTTTATATAGTAGTGAAACACAATTTGGTATTATTTTTTTATCAAATGTTGCACGACGCAATGTTAAGCACCGCAAGATTAGAGTACAAGGTCAAAATATTATTTTGGAAAATGTCATTTGAACAGTCTTTTGTCAACATTATTGTCGACATTTCAAGTGTTGGCTAATATTGATTGGGTGAAAAACTGTCAAAGATTTAAATTATCCAATGATTTGTTATTATGTGGTAAAGCGTAAAAATGATACAAATGATGATGTACATATAGCATGATTGTATTATTTTTCCAATCAATTTTTTTTTTCAACATTTACTTTGAGTTTTTCTTCGAGCAATAATACATTGATCTAATCAACACCCTATCTTCAAAAAAATATTATTTTCCAAAAAAA